CTAGAGACAGAAAGGACCTCTTCCTCCCGTGTTTACTCTCTTCACGCAGAAGGGAGACCTTAGGTGAGGAGCTAGTTCACCAGGACCTGAAACGAGGTGCCTGAGCTCTAGCGCCACTTCCTGCAGAGGCCCCCCTCCTGACACTGCTCTCAGAAGAAGGGCTCAGTGCTGGGCAGCCAGCACCAGTGGGCAGGGCTGGCCAGGCTCCTTTTCTCCCTGGGATTCTGGCTCTTTATCTCACTGAGCTTCCCCTCCAGGCCTGTCGGTTTCACCACCTCCCCTGGCAGTGGTGGCACAGTGACGTGCCTCTGCAGTGCCTGTTCTCCTTCCGGCAGGATCATGCAAGCCGTCCTCGACCACACCATCCCCTACCTGCACGTGAGGGAAGCCTTTGGCCAGAAGATCGGCCTCTTCCAGGTGTGTGGAATCCTTTTGCTGAAATATTCTCTTCCATTGGGTTAAAGTTTTCTTTAAAGAATGAGGAAGCATGGGCTAGCAGGTGGCGTGGTTAAGGCATTGGATCCCACATGGCTGACTGCAGTTTGAATCCTGGACTCAGCAGCTTGAAAATTACACCAGATGTTTGTGTATGTGTGCCTATAAACTCCAAGAGAATGGAGAAGGGATTGTGGCATGGCCACCTTCCCTAGGAGTGATTTCTCACTTCCCATCTCTCTCTCTCTCTCTCTCTCTCTCTCTGGCAAGTCCAGGCACCCTGTAGCCAAAATCTCTCTTGAAAAAAAAAAGGTTGGAGGGTGGAACCAGCTGGTGGCATAGTGGTTAGGGCAGCTGGATTCCACACGGCCAACCTTATGGTGCAAGTTCTGACTCAGCGACTTGAACACATGCCATGTGTATGTGAACCCAAATTCCCAACGAGAGAAATGAAGGAGAAGGTATTGCAGCGTGACCACCCCCCACAAGGCGTGCTTTTTCACATTCCCCTTCTCTCTGTCTCTCTGGCAAGTGCACACACCCTCTGGCAAAACTGAAAAGTCAAAAAGGCTGGAATCGAATCATGTAGGTTGTGGAGGGCGTAGAGGAGAGGCGTGGCTGGTCATCAGCAGAGCCGCACTGCAGACCTCCACCCCCCTGCCCTCTCCCTGGCACCAGGAGGCCTTTCTTGGAGGCCGTGAGGTGGCCGCTCTCCTACCTGCCTGAGGCGGCCTGTGCACGGCTGCCCTTCTTGCATCTGGTCTCTGGCCTGCAACAAAAGCTGATTTTCCCACAATGGCTGCCAAGCTCCCTGGGCCTCACTCCCAGATGCTCCCACTGCTGGAGCCCATGGCTGGCTTAGAGAGGTGTCCGTACCCTCTCACCCAGCGTGAGCTAGGCACAGCTGGTCTGGTACCGCGGGGCTCCGTCTGCCCGGTTAGTGGGCTCTGTCTGCCCAGTTGTGAGGAGGCAATGGCAAAGCATTTCTTCAGACCCGGTCCAAAGGAGCTGCAGGAAGGTTGGCAGGCGGTGCCTCCGGGCAGGGCCTCTCAGAGGTAGTGAACAGCAGCTCACTGACCTTCAGCCCAGGCCTGCATTCCTATGTCCCCTGAGGCAAGTGCCATCTCCCCTCTGTGCCCCCGCTTCTCCTGTTCTGGCTGTGAGGAAGCCAGTGCTGACCTGCTGAGTAACCAGGCAGAGCGTTCCTGCATGTTGACCTGTGACCTACCTTGTGCCCAGTTGATGCAGGGGAAGATGGCCAACATGTATACCCGCCTCATGTCGTCTCGGCAGTACGTCTACAACGTCGCCAAGGCCTGCGACGAGGGCCACTGCACTGCCAAGGTGAGGGCCAGCCCCAGAGGAGAGGGGCCAGGCCAGCGGCTGGCTACAGGGACGTGGGCTCTGTGTGCTGGTGGCCCGCTGACCCAAACGTCCCACAGGACTGCGCCGCTGTGATTCTTTATGCAGCTGAGTGTGCCACCCAGGTAGCCCTGGACGGGATCCAGTGTCTCGGTGAGTGCCCTCCCCACCCCCCAGGATCGCACCTCACTCTGGGCGTGAGCTAGGCCAGTCCACTGGCGTCTTCAGCTGTGTGCCCCGGTAACAGGAAGTGGAAAAGCCCGTGAGAAAATGGCTCGAGGCCAGGAGTTGCTACTGTCTGCAGCTACACGCCCCCTTCCTCTCTGCCTAGTCTCAGGGACACTGGAAATTGGGAAAGAGGTGCCGCGAGAATGGGACGGCCTTGTCTCAGTGCTGCAGAGAGCTCAAGAGCAGCGGAGGCCCTAGCTCCGCCATGCCAGCATCTTCCAGACCCCCTTCCACGTCTGCCAGGGGTTTCTCTTGCTCTCTGTCTGGCACCTATGGCCCTGTGGGTAGTCTTCCAGCCCCAACCCTTTGCCTGACCTCCCCCAGCAAGGCATCCGTTACCCCCCGCCGCCCACCATTTGCTGCTTCTCTTTAATTAGCTGCCCCTCCCATGGCCAGCTCTGCGACCCGGACTCTGTCTGTACTCCTAGATTTGCCCCTGCCCATAAGTTCTGTTCTCTTTGCCCAAACCCTGGCTGCAGGTGGCAATGGCTACATCAACGACTTCCCCATGGGCCGCTTTCTTCGGGATGCCAAGCTGTATGAGATCGGGGCCGGGACCAGTGAGGTGAGGCGGCTGGTCATCGGCAGAGCCTTCAACGCAGACTTCCACTAGCTCCACGTCCTACTCCTCTTGCCAGCACCTCGAGGCCTTTCTTGGAAGTGAAGACCCGGCAACCCTCCTACCCTGCCCGGGGCCGGCCTGCTGCTTAGATGCGCTTCTTGTGCCAGTAATCTGGCCTCCACCTGCAGCTGAGTTCTTCACGATGGCTGCCAAGTTCCGTGGGCCTCACGGCAGGGGCAGCCAGCCCGAAGAGGGCTCCAGGGCTTACAGTGGAC